TGCTAACACAATAGAGAGGTAGAGTTCAACCTTCTTACCCAAAGTTCCTCACCTTAGCAGTAACCTGGGTCAACCAAACTGACAGACAGGTGAGAAGACAATGGCGAGAAAAAAACCTAATAGAAGTCAGGGAAGAAACTGGAAGGGCAGTCTTCCACAGCCCTTACCGACAGAAAAAATCTAATTAGACTAAACTCTTGGCAACAGGAACCATGCAATTAGATACTTTTATAGTGACCTGCATAAAGGCAGGGGGAGGTTAGGCTCTACAGGCACATATTGGAAGACTCACCAGTATTTTTGTTTGTTTTGAGAACTTGCATCAAGCTTCATACTATGTGAACTCAGTACAGAAATAATGATGAAGCATTTATGCCATGAAAATAAATATCCCAGTATTGTATTATGAAGACTTTCAGGATAAATATGAACAGCAAACCCTTATCAAAAATTTCCACTTTATTTGAAGCTTGGCTTGTTGACACGTCCATTAATTCATGCCTGTGCTTGGCTTCTGCCTAGACACCTATTATTTTAAAAAGTGAAGTGGCTGTTTTAAAGATTCATAGTCTCATCATTCAATTAACTACTCATTTATTACGGTACTGCCTAAAGGACAAGTAGAAGTGGGACCTCACTGTACGGTACCAAGTTCAAACTAGTAGAGGATCCTGTCCGATCATGAAAGAGGAGTGAGAGCATGCCCAGGTGCATACAGCCCAATAGCAGAGAACAAAGGAAGTTCAGTTACCACCACAAAGCTCTTTATGAGCATGCTGACACTGTGGTCCTAACTCGGCCTTCCCTGACCACATGCTATTCACCTGCTCCAAACCTGTGAGGCCACATGAGGGCACCCCTTCAAAATGCCCAAAGTCTTGGTCTCCAGCATGCTTAAGAGCCACTTTACTAGTTTACCTCCAAGTCTGAAGCACATCAGCCAGAGTAGGTGAACAGGAAGTATCTGTGCACATACTAGGCAAAACATGTTGCTGCCACAGGTGCTGTCCAATATGTCCAGAGATGTTTGTTTTGCTGCTTCCTCCCAAAGGAGCATCTGGCTGGCTCATCTCTGTAGTCTTTACAGAAGGCCACAGAGCCAAGACAAGGGAGAGAGAGTCTGCTTTGCGCAAGAGCAGGTCTGGAGAGGGATCTCACGGAAAATGAAGGCACCAGATGGGCCCAATTTATACTCTGCTGGGAAGTGCAGCAGTCCCCCGCTTGGGCTGCTTCCAGTTCTTCCAGCTGGAGTCTCTACCTCACCCTTCAGTCCTTTCCCTCAGAAGCCACACTGGAGAAGTGAAGCCTGCTTCCCAGTGAGACCAGAGTGAGAGGGATGATTCACTACAACTTAAATATTTGCAGCCAGACCCTTAAATAGAGGATCACTACTCCACTAACCTGTAATGCTTCATATTAGTGATTTTAATCAGGTTAATGCATTAAACCAGTATCTTAGGGAGATAATTAAGTAGAGGCACTTCAATGCCTAAAACGGGGATTTAACTTTTGCCAATGAAAACCCTGTTTAAGTCCCTTAGGTATCAAAGGCAGTTAATTTTTCACTAGAAAAGCTGTTTAGCCCGCGAAATTCTGCTAAAATGCATGCTAGGAGATGCAGCCATCACAAGTGTGTCCTGGCACCTATCTCCCACTGCAGAACTACGGATACAATAGTGCCCAGACTGGAGATAACCCACATTCGTTTGTCTTGGATTACTGACTGACTGAAAGAAGGATCGTGAACTGCCATGAGGAAGAGGAATGCTAGCCTGGAGTTGTTTGGTGGGGTATATTCAGTAGATGTAGTAGTGCTATCAACCTCTGTTAGTAGCAACATGTTTGTGCCATGATGCTATGCAGCAACAGGCACACACTTAAGAGCTACAACATGGCATGCCATCCAAGTGCACAGCATGGAAAATGTTTTGGAGGAAATGTTGCTGGTGAGTGTCAGCTGTACCACTACAAGGTGGGGGCAAGATCGCAGTTAGCACACTGATTACAGACCCAGTCACCAATGATTCAAAGAAAGGCCATGGACACGATTTAAAAAGAGACTTTTCCTTAGGAGAGAAGTTTAAAAAGAGCATGTCTTGTTCAAGTTATGATCAGTTTTACAATCAATTTTTTATTTCCTATCAAGTACCTGTGTGGGGTGAATACTGGGGTGAAAAGTAGGCTTTTAGGCTGAAAAATATAAAATGCAAGTTCAAGTGGCTATAAGCTGGCAATGGATACATTTAGATTGTAAAGTTAAGCAAGTTCTTAACTTTCAGAGTAGCATTTTCCTAAGCAAACTGATGAGAACAAAAATTAAACTTTCTTCAGAGTTGAAAGAAGAATGTGTGGATGGGATAGAACGAAACGGATGGGCTGAGGGAATGGAGTCGTGTGTTTGTAGTCCTTGTAAACTCTTGTAGTAGCTGTCTAGTAATCTCATGATTCAGCACTTTTGCTGGTCACCAGTAGTGGTCAGAAGGGTACTCTTTCCCTCTCCCCCTGCATGAATGCTACTGCCTTCTGGTGAGGAACTTCAATGCCTTTATCTGAAGTATCAGGATGTCAACTATAGCTAATGCTTGTGTGGATGTCGACAGCACATGCTAAGCCTCCTGGCTAGATGGTTTTGCTCAGGGTCAAACAAAATGCCAGATCTGGAAATCAGAAGGACATTTCTCCAATAGGCCAAACTGGCACAGACCATAGGAAAAGAGAACTATCCTTTTTTCTAGGAACTTCTGAGTCTATATTAACCACCTACTTCCCCATCATTACAGAGGCAATGTATTGTGGCAGTATCCTAGTTTCCCTTGCCTCTACATTTAGCATTTTATACAGTGTTCATAGCATTTCTGGTATTAGGATGTGTAATTGTGTACATGATGGTTTTGAGTGCAATGTGGAGGTCCATTCAGGGCAAATGCATGGAACAGGACCCTCAATGGCTCAGGAGGGTCAATCCCACTGCTGTGCTCAGGATCCAGAAATGAAGCAGCCTTGTACTCAAGGTTCCTGACAGTCCTTAAATAAAAAGATGTATACTCAGGCACACTTAACATATATTGCATACACTTCAATACAGCACTTGTTGCTACTTTCAGCCAGCAACAGTGGAGAAAGGGGAAGATGGAAGTCATTTTTCACTTAAAACAGCTTAATCGTTAGAGCACTGGGTTTTAAGCCCTCCACCTGAGAAGGTTCAAACCCACATCTACTTCCCTGCAGAGTGATGTGAGCACTAGACTACTGAGGAGGGGTAAGTGGGGGCTTTCACTCTTCACCTGTTGAAACTAGGTCATGGCTTAAAGAATGCATGACTGGAGAGAAAGCATCTAATGAGACTATTCGCTTGGAGACAGAAACAGGGAGAACAAATCCCCATGCTGGACACTAGGGCTGACCAACTGGTAGCCTGCAGGCTCCTACCTGGACATCAGTCCCTCAATCACTCCAGCTGCTATTGCAGTCTCTAGGCTCCCCCTTCCTCCACCAGCTTTTGCTTCCTGCTCCTGCCCCAGGGGTAGGGCAGTGCAGCCCAGGGTGCCAGGGAAGACCAAGGGAGCTGAGTGGGGGCCACCCACATGCACAGTCCAACAGCTGCCCCACATGTGGTCCAGCAGGAAGGGAGAGGGATGTGGCCTGGAGGCCCATGGCTTGCACTATTGTTTAAGAGCCTACAAATCCTACCACTGGGAAAAAACAAAACAAAACAAAAACAAAACAAAAAAACAGACACACACACACCTGAAGCACCTAAGTGTGTGCAAATTTGGAGCTACTAATCTTAGTCTCCTAGACATCTAGGAGAGGCAGGATTTCATTCAGATCCCCAGTGAGTGTTGTGGATCTCATTCTTAGGGACTTCAGTCCCCCCATTTAAAATATAGACACCTAACTCCGATATGTGAATTCCCTATCTGGAGCTAGAAGTTAGGCACCAGAATACACAGCATCACTGTACCTGTTCCTTTGCAAACTGTGCCTTAAGTGAAGCCAAGAAGCTGGAAACAAAGAAGTATTCTGAAACAAACATGTAATCCCCAAAACAAATAGGGGGATTCCTATGGAACCTTTTTCATACAGATCTTTTTAGCTTACCCCTTTCTCCCAAATTCAATGAAACGGGCACTATTTTTACTACTAGCAGTACTTTTGTTCTTACACTGAAGAGTCAGCAGAAGGAAGCACAGGTGAGCTAAGCCCTGACTCAAAAAGGAACATCTCAGCAGCACGCTGGAGCAGTTGGCAAATATGCGAGCCAACAAAAACTGCCACATTGGTATCTGCTCTACTAGAAGACTATTTACTAAATGGCAGAATCAAAGTTAATAGGACAATACTTTGAGCCAGGTTTTTCTAGTCAGCTTGGCCTATGGTTAATTCAGCCCATATACTCATTTGTCTCACATGCCCATGATCTCTCGACAAAATCCTGAATGTGAACTTGTTGGTATACAGACTGGTTATGAAAGTCACTAAACAAGTGTGCAGTGAGCAGGGTCCCAGCAGGAAACCACACATCTTAGTGCTCAGGAAAAAGTTTGTACATATACACATCGTGCAACTGTTAAACACCACACCACCCTTGTAATTAAAGTTCAAGCTTCTCCCTCCCCTTCAACATGTTACAAATTCTAGTATTGCATGCTATTCATATTCCCCACACAATATAAGTTAGGACACAGGTATGTGAAAATACAGCCTTTCCATTTCTGTAAAAAAGGCAAAAAACACATCGTGAGCAAAATTCTTCATTATTTCGTCTATACAACTGCATACACAGCATTAGACAGCAAGTGTTTGAAAGTCAGTAACGTTACACCAGCGGCCTAAAATTTATTCCATATCTTGAGACTGTCAAAGCTATGGGCTTAAGGGCTTTTTGTTCTGTTTTTAACTATTTCCTCTTATACTCTCCTACCAATCATTTTACATGAAGGAAAAGTAAAAGGAAAACATGCCATAGATCATTAACATTTTTCAGCTATTTGGTTTACCTTTGCTTTGTCCCTCATGGAACCTTTTCCCAATATAGACATTTTTGTCAAGGTTTCTTCCTGTAAACGTTTCAGTGAATTGCCACGTGGACCCAAAAGCTTTCCCACGAAGTTGAACTGTAAGGAAAGAACACATATGCAATAACTCTGCAGTGTAACAACTATTTTTATAAGCCATTTAAGACTTCTGCAAGGTACGAAAAATATTGCTGAAACAACATTTTGTTGTAGCTGCAAACAAAAATATATATATTAGATCATAAATTTTATAGCCATTAAACAAGCATGTGTGGATCAGTTGCTGTATAGAGGGAGAAGCCCCTGAAATGGTAGCATTATATAAACTAACAGTATTCAAAAGAAATTTCAAATAATATGAAGACAGCTCATTCATGTTAGTCAAACTGATAAGAAGAAGAGAGACAAGAGCAAGGTATTTATACTTAAACTGCAATTCTACTTTCAGACAAATTAAATTAAAAAAAAAAACAACTTAAAAACACTAGACCAAATCTAGTAGCCACTGTATATGGAAGAATTTTGAAAAAGAATAGTATATTTACATCCTAAACATTTTGCATGAAGCAAAATCCTGTTCTCTCCTACAATTCCCTTATGCCCCAAAATAAAGCAAGCTCATGCCTTTGGGATTACGGCTGGTAAAAGCAATAAAAAGAATGAGGGGAGAAGGCTGGGAGGGTTGTGCGTAACTTTGCCTGGTTTTAGGAAACTCAAAGAGAACAAAAATGGACAAAGGAATATTTGAGGGTTGAAATATGGACAGCAGGGTGATAGTAAATTAATGTTGGTAAGAATAGTAATTATGGCAGATGACAGTGAAAAACTATGCTTCCTCCAGTCAAACAAAATCTGGCCAGCAAGAAACAACCGAATACTAATACAATGTGTCCTGGTGGGGGAGAATACTTTCAGGAAGAGAACAATTTCCAGCTTCAGGTTTTGAAGGAGTTGTTATAAATAGCAAGAACAAAAATTAATATCTGCCAGAATGAATCTGATGTTTACATGGCCTAAGGACTGTCTCCCTCGAGTCACAGTTTAATTAATTAGACCATAGGAATTGCTATTGCAGAACAGTGTGAGGGTCCATCTAACCCAGTATCCTGTCTCTGCTGCCAGCCAACTCAGGATGTTTTAAAGGAATGTCTAAGCCACTAAATAATACATTTAATTGTTCATATCACCTCATAGTAATTATCATATGCCCTAAAGCTTCAGGACTTGAAAGTTT